ATCACCTGCCGGAATTCACTGCGTGGATTGCGTCATTTGCTGGCGCCCCCCGAACTGGACGGTTCCGGTTTATTCGCGAGACGCTTAGAGATGTGGAGCAAGTTCCCGATGGCTTGAGGCGGGCGCCGGCCAGGTATAAATTCGCCGCTACCGACCAGTCAGTCAGTGTATGTAGTCGGTAAGAATGCAGCCTAAGTCAGTCTGAAGTGGAAGCTGAGTTGTGAAGTGTACATCGCGGTGAACAGTAGTGCAGTGGACCCAGATCAGCGCCGTGAATTGTGGTCAGCCTCAGTGAATTGTGGACAGTGCATCGGGCAGAAGTAGGTGTTCGGACTGTGCGACAGTGTACATGAAATGAAGTGTAAATAAATAATCAATAGGAGTGAACAGTGTAAATAAATAATTAAGAGAAGTGAGTCGTGCGTAAGGAAATCACCGAGTGAAGAATGCAAGGACTGTGCAACCTATCTGTAAATAAATCAAGTATTTTAGTGTATCATTGTTTACAAATAAACATCTTTGTTAAATATTACGTGTGATTTAATTCACCGCCAAGAAACGTTACAGTATTGATCTACCCCATACACACATTCCGGTATTTCCCGACCGCCAGCCACGATCGTACACCACATTTACTGTGGTGTGCAGATACACCTCATTTATAAGAGAGGCCCCTCCTCGAGTGCACGATCCTACGCGCCACTCATGTGATCTTCGTCACCCGTACAACGCACCAGCCTGGGCGTGAATTTTGCGCAGACCACAAGGTTTACACGAACAAACCCCGCCGGAGTGAGCGAGTCGGCCCAATTTATACTCGTCGACTCATCCCCGCCTAACTATCGCTGAGCCTGGGAGGGAGGCATACAATCACGTAACACTTACTGCAGGTCATGCCGGCGTCCATCTGACTCTAAAAATATCTGCCACCCCATCGCTTTGGCTTCTAGCTTCAGTTCTCAGGTACGCGAGGCTTCTTCGTCCATTTCCCACTCAGGGTTGCCAACGTGGCGCTATACGTGCAAACATTTATGTTTGAGAATGATCAAGTTATCATTCCTGCGGACAAGGTTGGTTGTTAGTGATTCAGAGTGCGTCAACTGCTGAGGTCATTAGTTCCGTAGGAGTAGTGCATTTTTCGCCGGGAGGTGGCGGTGATCTGCTGGATGGCGAGATCCAGCGCCGACCTACCATCGACTAGCGGTATTTCTCTCAACCATGCTGCGGAAAGATGTCAGTTGTATGAGTTACCTCAAAGACGAGTACGAGATATGGGGCTGGACAATAATGTTGACAAGGCAATACTAACCCATAGCGTCAGGAATGGGAAATTTGGGTATTGAAGGAAACGTGATTAAAGCATGCCTTGACTTTAAATATCTCAGGGCTTTTTTCAACACTGAGTCCAACTGAGAGTCAAATATTGAAACTTGAATACATCAAGGTCGAAGGGCTGTCAAGGAAATAAATAGAATAATGTGGACGAAAGGTGAAAGAAAGAAGTTTAAAAAATGAATTTATGAAGCATCTGTTGAATGAATTTACCTACATTGTAGTTAGTTATGAGAAGGTGCAAGTTCTCCATATTAAAACATATCCCAAATGAATAAATAAAAGAGATAATGAATATAAGCAGAGATGTAATTGATAGAATCGAATACTACATAGATCATTTAATACTTAAGCGACGAATTGGTCTACAGAAAAAACAGTGGATAGGATTAGTTTGGTAATTTTAGGACTTTAGATGGCATCACTGGTATGAGCCCGGACCATCTGGAGCATCAGCATTGTGTCAATAACCACAAAATTAAGGTGAACGATGGCGAGACCACTTGAAAATTCCACATTGTTTGAACAACGTTCTGTGATATGTTTTGCACTTGCTGAAGGTGTAAGAACCGCGAGGATTTTGACAAGTGGGTAGAACAGTTCAAAAGTGGTCGATACTTAGTGACTGACAAACACCGTTTTGGCAGCATCATCAGGAAAAGTCACGTTGACTATTGGGGGACTCTGTAGGGGCGTCTTTTCGTGATTATGTCGAAGCACAGCATATAATAAACAGCCAATATTGCTAAGATATGCTTTTGAACAAGGTAAAGCAACCCATGAGAGAACGTATGGAATATCAGACGAGAGGTGTGATTCTCCAGCAAAACAACGCACCTCCTCACACTGCTCAAGAAAGCCGTAAAACCATCGAAAAATGGGTATACATCTAAACATCTGGTATTATGTGCCCGTCAGTTGCTGCTCTCGGTGAAGTGGACGCTCCCCTCGCATACCAAAGCGTTGTATCCACGCTGTTCCCCTTAAAAGTGCATGATTCGAAGCTCTCTTCGTCGATTCGAAGGTCGTCTCCCATGTTAAAAGAAAATATTTCACGCACGGGATACTTGGGGATACGCTATATGCAAAGCGACGACATTCAGATTCCGGGAAGAAGTGCATGTATCGGACAGAACGAAGTGACGACTTGGGTGCGGGAAACTGCGAAAGCTCTAAAACACTCGCTGAAAAGATTTTGTGGGTGTGCTTTCATCAAGAATTGTTTTGTTTGTGTATTTTTCTAAGAAACTTGAATTGGGGGTCGTTGATTTTGTGAATCGGCTTTAATGTTCGAAACATTTTAAAAAAGTTTGATTGACCATTAAGTGAAGTTGTCTTCTTATTTAGCTTTAATTTTGCTATTGAGATGTGCTGCGTGACGTGAAAGCGTTATGTTGAAACCTTTTTGTCATAGCATGCGCAGTACAATATACACTGCTGTTTGTGAAAATTGCAACACCAAGAAGTAATGGTCGGAATCATGTAAAAATCAGCAGATTTGTAGAACACTTGTGTCCATAAGAACTGATTTAAATTGCTTAGTGCATGGCCTAGTAGCGCCCTCCTTTCTGTGACAGGTCAGGCCAGTGTTACGCCATACTCGGTCGGGTGTAGAGCCGTCAAACGACGTGAAAACGTGCAAACTCGTGTCGGTGAGCCTCGTCAACGCCAAAGGGCGCAAAATCATCTTCTGAGCGAGTTTGAATGGGGTAGAATGATCGGCTCTCCAGACATTCGGGTTTGTCGTGACATTGCGGCTCAAACGAGGCACGCTACTACGGCAGTGATGCGTGTTTGGAACCAATGAGAAGAGGAGGGTCATACACAGCGACGAACGGGTAGTGGACCACACAATCGCGAGATGACCGCCATCTTGCCTGCATGACCGTAACCGACAGAAAGGCGTTGTCCACTGTGTTGGCTTGACTTTGGAGCACTGCAACGGGTGTTGGCATGTCTTGATGGCGTCGATGGTTCGACGCCATCTCTTGAGGGTTGGACTAGTGGCATGCATTCCACTGCGTTGAATTCCGTTGGCCGGAAATCACCAACACCTCTGTCAGCAATGGTCACATGAACGTGTTCACTGGTGAGCTGAGTGGCAAAATGTAGGGTTTTCGGACGAGTCCCGCTTCAATTTGTGGTACAGCGATAGCCGCGTACGTGTTCTACGCGACCATTGTAATCGCAATTTGCCAGCCTGCGACGCTCCGCGCCATTGCGGACAAACGCTATGTATGATGGATTGGGGCGCCATTTCTGGGCAATCTGAACAGCAACCGCTTCATTAGGGAGGTTTTAGAGCCTAAGGTACTGCCCGTCCCGCAAGCATATGCCATATTTCAGTAGGACAATGCCCGACAACAGGTGGCGAGGAATGTGCAAGCTTTCTGCGAAGAACAACGGGAACCATTGCTTCCCTGGTCTGCACGTTGGCCTGATGTATCACCCATAGAACATGTCTGGAATAACAACGATCTTCAACTTATTAGTTCTGGTGCTCCTGCAGTCACAGCTTTGTGGACACGTATAGAAAGAGCAAGAAGTGTGTTCCCAACAGCATATCCAAGGTCTCTTAGAATCTATGCCACGACGTCTAGAGACTGTAATAGCAGTGCGTAGCGGCTTCACACCGTACTAAATACTCAAGGTCAAAAAGAAGGTACAGTTCTGTAATTGTAATCATTTTAATATTGGATATTCCTAATCTGTGAAATAAACTTCATTGTGTGCTCTCCTACTTGGCGTTCCAATTTTCACAAACACCAGTGTACTCGAGTCACTACTGAACTTCGATACTCGCATTCATTACGGTTCTCGCGAATGTATTACCTACGTGTAAGCACTAAGTCTTTCGTTATCACCGCGGTTTTTGGCATTGTCTGCTCTCTCACCAGTCCACACTTATCCATACCAGTTTACCCCAGAACACATTAGTTCACATTAAGATTGTTATTCAAAATGTTAAATACATGCAAGTGTTGGCAATGGTGATTACGAGGAGCCGGTGTGCACGTACACGTGAACGTAAAGCAGAGCTAATACTGATAGGTTCCGAATGTCGCGAGACAGAGATGTATCTCCGTGGGGATGCAGGAAGCGCGATAAGATGGACACTCTATGAAAATTTTGGCATTATAGTAGTTTACTTGTTGAATGAAACACGAATAAGGATATACTACTTCTGCTTCGCGAACATCCGTTCATCCTACGCGGATCCCGAGAAGCAGGGACTAAGAGTCACACGCAGCGAAGATCGGGAGGTCATAAAAGTGCAGTATTACATTGCCAAGTGTAACAGAAAATAAATTACCGGAACATTTAATTAGAACTCATCATTTGAGACTTCGTGTTCTACTCGTAAATATTCAAATGTTAATTGAAACGTGTACAAATACAGTAAAATGAATGGTATGTAACTATTCAGAATGTCTAAGCAAAGTCATAGAAAAAATCAAAGCAGAGTATCTATGTTCCTGTAAAAAATTGTATTTACTTGAAAATCCATTCTTATCCATAACATAGATTTTCACTTTTAGCTGCATTGTGAATGTCAGCTTATCTGAAATGGAATTGTTGAATATGAAAGCATGTCGGATAAACGATATATCCGGTTAGTTGTGAAAATAAAATGAGTAATGTATAAAGATTATTTTATTTTTTTGAAGGAAATGGTCCAAGTAAGAGTATTATTTTTCAACTTTTACACAACTAATGTTTGTACTTCCCAATCCTCTCATTGGCTCCTTTGCACTACCTTACAGAACGGGAGTTGAAACGATTGCCTTCGTCGTGGGGCAGTGGTGACATCTTCTCTGCTGAGGAATCGGACGAAGGACCGCCAAGGAAGTCGGAGAACATGTCGCCGAAAGCGAAACAGGAGGTGATCGACCTGGTGAGCGAATCGGAGAACTCGAATGACTCCGAAGAGTCGCAGACGGAGTCCGAAAGCAGCCAGGCTCCGCAGGAGGTGCTGTCGCAGGCGTTCTGGGGCGGCGCGGGGGACAGGGACGAGGACGACGACGAGGGCGAGGACGCGCCCTGGCACTTCGGCGCGCGCATTACTCGCGAGGGCATGCGCTCGGTACTGCGCGGCCGCACGCGGGAGCCCACTGCGGGCGGCGAGTACGGCCCCACGCGCCGCCTGTCCGTGCCGCGCGCAAGAGCGCCCATCAAGTACGTTTCCCTCCTTCTCCCGCCCCCTCTATCTCTCTCCTCTCCTCTCCTCTCCTCTCCTCTCCGCCTCTCTTGTTCTACCTTCCCCTCCTCTCCATTACTCAACCCTCTGCTCTCTCCCTATCTTATCCATCTCATCTCTTTTCATTTCTTGTCTGCCAGCTCATAGACTATCAATAATAGCTGTGTTTTCAAAACCACAAACTGCTAGGTTATTCCTAATCCCCATTAGATATGTTTCATTCTTCTCCTTTCCTCCTCTGCCTTTCATATTAGATATTCAATTACCAAAAATATCTATTCAGCTGTGAATTCTTCCTCTTAACTCTCCTTTTCTAAATCTATTTGGTTCCATTTCTCTCTGCAGCTGAATTATTTTATTTCTTAATGTTGTATAAGAGGTCTTACTGATGTGAGGAAAAGCCGAATTCAAATTTTCTCAAACTGTTTTTCCTCCTCTGAAGTTTTCAATTAACCATTACCATTTCCGTGCACTCATCATTAATAATACAGACATATCAGTTTACTTAATTCAAATATTATTGAATTATTATTTATATATTATAAAATGATATATAACTAATTAAATCTAAATTCTTTGTAAAAGATTAATATTCAGTTGATTTTTCCATGTATTGTTGGCATTTCACTTGGTTTTTGTCTTAGAGACATTAGCCATTTGATATTAGATTTTTCTTTTAAAAGGGACTACAGATTTAGTGTCCAGCTGACATGATGTTTTCTTATTTACAAAAAATTTATTTATGTTGAATACAATTTATAATTTTATTTCTTGACTTACAGTTAATATTTATAACATAAAGCAACATATAACAATAATATTTAAACATACATTGAATGACTTTCGTTTGTGTATAAAATTGGAAAACACCGTATTTTTAACATGTTTTATGATTTATGGTTACATTTTTTAATATATTCCTATCTTTTTATACGTAAGTAATTAATATCACTGAGCCCCCTTGTGCACTACTGGACACAACACTTCTAGACATAAATATGTTTGTCTGGTTATACATATTACTGACAGAAATGAAAGTGACACTATGTAACAGTTTGTCTGGTTACAGAGTTTTTATTTATGTATATCTTGATAATAAAACAATAGAAGTACAGTAGAAGACCTCATATCCAACCCCTTTCCCTCTTTTTTCTTCGAACTCTCGATGCTGACTCTTATACATTGTTGTGTACTTCAATATAATATAGTGCAGTATGTATTTTGATTTACATGTATTTTTTCTGTACTGATCATATTCCAGTCACATGGATGACTGTTATGGGGGTATTACTACGTTTCTTAAAGTAAGTTTAAGTTGTATGGAAATAATTCAGTTCATGAAAAAGAAGTTTCTAATACAACTGCTATGAACATAGTAACAAATAAAATAAAACAAAACAAATGATATTTCAAAACTTTCTGTCATACAACAGTATTTCCCACTTTCTAGTAGGAGAGAACTTTAACTTAGAATTCTAGAAGATAATTGATTTTTGTCTTTAATTCTCACTTTTTTAGACAAAATCCTTGAAAATATAGGTACATGATGAAAGTTATATGACCCAGATGCTTTCTTTTCTTCAGGGTGCCCAAAATATTCTATGCTTCAAGAACGCATCTGCAGTTAGAACAAGTTGCAAATGAGATAAAGCGCACCCATTATTGTGATGCCAGGTATGTATTTACTTCAGTTGTCTTTTTTTTTTATAATTATTTAAATAGCACACTAAGAAGAAACATATAAACTTGTTTGTGTGAATGTGATGTAATGATTTTAGAACACTAGATGACACCACCACTGCAGTAATAGTGTAATCATGAGATGGGGACAAGTTTATACCTTATGCAAATGGCTAAGTGTGTAAGATGTCATCAGATGGACATCAGATAACAACACACAGGCTAAACAAATTTAAGTGGTATGGATTGAAAATATCCACAACAAATCCAAACCAATAGATTTTAAAGACAAAAAAATCATAGGACAAAAATGGCAATTAAGAAAGAAGAGGAAATAAGAAAAAATGATACTTAAAAAACCTCATTTAGGATGAAGTAAAGTATAAAGGAAATTGCAAAATCACATAAAAAGAGTAGAATCATTCTACCTACCAAAGCAGGGCCTTAAATAAGGACTAACAGAAGCAAGTGAAAGAGGTTGCCCTAAGAAAAGACATAAAGACTAGGAAGACCTTTGTAATCACTAAAAAATTACTGGAATGAACAGAACATCAGGTCTTCCCCTTAATAATTGATAATAATGATGATTTTAGGGAAAACTACCACAGTATTTCATTCTGAAGAAACACAAGGAAAGGGAAACTATTATTTGTTCTAAGAAATGTAACATCGGATTTTTAGTAATTATGTGTAAAATTACTTGGAAGACTTCCTGACTGTTCCTCTATCCTTTGGGTGAGAGAATGCCAGATCTCTCCAAAATTCATAAAATTATAATAAAAATTGTCTGATGTTTGAATGGAGAGATGTTAATTGACTAATCAAATGATATCTGTAACAATGAGTAAAATACACAAGTTTATACCTGTATTTAAAAGTATAACCTTTTTTCTTTCAGAGTGGTTGTACTTTCGAGTCGTGAATTTACGTGTATTAATGATCAAGAATTCAGAACTAAAAAGTATCCTAATCGAACAGATATGTGTCGTCAATTATTAAATGATGTTCCATTAACGGATACGAGTTGGACTGAAAATAGATTTCGTATTGATGAGAGTTCATCAGTAAGTATGAACAGTATTTTTGATTGCATGTGCATTATTCATTAAAAATTATTATCCTGTATAATTATGAGATAGATCAATGTTACCTACATTTGATCAATTCATCTTGATATGCTCTAGAGTATTTGTGGATGCAATGGAAAACATTCAGACACTTTTATCTTAAAAATTTGCTTAAGAGAAGTTTGTGTTTCGTAATGTCATTCATTCTTCTTTTGCAGAAGTCCACATGCTTTTACTTTTCAAATAGCAAACGATATGCTACTCACGATGCAATGGAAGCTATTAACGTGGGACCTGTAGTTGACATTAATAACTTAGTGCAAGCTGGTCGAAGACACAAATTCTGTCCATATTTTGCTGCTCGAAATTTAATAACCACAGCAGATATAATTTTATGTCCAGTCAATTACTTAATTGATCCTTTAGTTCGCAAAAGTGTATGTATATAAATTGCAAAAATTTGTTTTGGTTGAATGATTCATTACAGTAATTTTTAAAAATGTATCTGTACCAGAGAAATAATTTAGTTTTCTGTATTTATGCCTGTTTAATTTTATAGATGAACATGGAACTCAAGGGAGAAATAATAGTCATTGATGAAGCCCACATGTTGGATGATTTATGCCGAGAAACAGCCAGCATGATAGTGCCTGTTAGTGAATTGAAAGAATGTGCAAAAGATTGTTTTGCTCTGGTTGACAGGCAACAATTACCTCATGCTCATAGAACAATGGTAACAGCCCATTCATGATAATATCAAAGAGAAAATGTAATTAAAGGAAGGATTAAGTTGCATGTAGTAAGTTAATGTAAAGTTGAAGTAAAGGAACAGCAAAAATGTCTTAATTTTCAGGGAAAGAATTGGTAGTTACTATACATGCTTACTTTCTGTAGAAAAAATGTCAGAAAATTCCTTTAGTGTCTGTTTCCCCTGATAAAATGATGAGACGATGTTTAAAATGAATGAGAGAAATCTTAAAATATTATAACTTCTTTGGAGGAGATATAATGTGTTTACAAATGTAGTGTAATCATTCTGTTTGATATGAGAGGTTTGAATTCTGTTTTCTCAAAATTATTTTAATCTAATCATTAAAAAAAGAGTTAAAATTTTAATTGAATCCTTTGACATTGTATAAAATAATTCTCAAATGAACTTTTATATTATGTTTTTGTTGATTTGTATATATAATGTTTTAATGTTATCTCCTGAAAGTAAAGCTAATTCTTTCACATGAAATATAACTGTATAATTAATTTTTCTTATATGCATTATTTCTTATTTAGTTAAAATGTCAAACATCTTGCTACTTGTAGGTAAATAGTCCAATCTCAGTTGTAAAATATTATTTCATAGGCAGATTTTTTGCAAGCTGTAATTTCATGGATCGACATGAACTCTCAGAGATCATTGTCATATGGATTCAATAATGAGAAGGAGTTTTCTGTGTCATCCATTCATCTGATAGCCAGTCTTGAGCAGTCACAAATTACTCGTGAAGGGGTTTCTAAGTTTAAGGTATGTTGGTGTTTTCTTTTCTTTTCCTTATTATGGTTATAACACATTATTGTAATTAAATTTAGAATATGAGTTTATGTTTCTGGGAAAAAAAAAACATCAGTAGATGAAATGTTATTATTTGAAATTTTTAAAATACAACATTAATGTTTTTCGTATGTATTATCATTGTAATGCATTTCTTAAATGTTAATAATTTTTCATTTTTAACCCTTCTTAAATATTAATTTACTATAATTTTATGTACTTTATTCTTTAATCAGTTATATTTTTAAGACCACACTGTATTTATTTGTCATCAAAAACAACGTATTTGATGCGCATGTAGAGAGGGAAGCACAAACTGCCCTGGTTCTCTTCGTCTCCAGAATTCTTACCACATCTCATTTAATATATGTAGTTGCAATATGAATTTAGTTTCAGTATCAGTCATTTAATATATGTAGTTGCAATATGAATTTAGTTTCAGTATGCTTTGCATATATGCATGTATGCATCATTTCAGAACAAAAACATAAATTTCCTCGTGAAATAGAAACTGTTTGCTTCAATAAACAACCTACAGAGAAGACAATTATGGTCTAATGCAGTCAAGGAAATTCATATACCTGCCATATATCAATGCAAGAGTATTGCCTAACAGGGACAAATGTCCCTTGTGTAACTCCTTTATATGAAATTAGCTGCAATGCTTTGCAATTGTAGTGTATTAAATCAGAACAATTAACGGGGTTTCCAGTGAACCTGGAATTCATGAAAACGGGAGTTTGAAAAAGTTTGGAAAAAACTAGAAAAGTTTTTGATCACTTGTTAAAATGATATTTTAAATCAAGCACCCCGACGGTGAGAGGCAAGGAGACTCACCTAAAACACCCCGATGGTGATTACAAGCACCCCCGATGTTATAGCAATTTGAAATTTAAAAGTTACCCCCCCCCCCCGCTATCAGTGGTTGGGGGTGCTCACTTTTATCAATACTAGATAAGATTATTAAAAACACCATGTTTTTTCACCCCGTGGTGCAATTTCACTAGAATTGCGAAAAATTGTGTTTTCTACGATTGCAGCGCCATCTACTGGAAAACAAAAAATGTTTCAAACATTTTTTTGTTTTTTGTTTTGAGAATGGGAATCCGAATCCGCTATAAAAATAGTGTTCTCATTTGAAATTCGCAAGTTGTCCCACCCCCGGGGGGGGGGAAGGTGGCAGGTCGAGATTGGTATCATCCAATAGGCCCCTCTGAGGTAAACAAATTTTATTTGAAACATTTCTTGATACGATTCTTAGTTTTCAAGATATTTAGTTGTCTCAAAAGAAAAAAATCACCCTGTATAGACAGACAGAGAAAGGGAAGGTCAGACAGGGTCTGAAAGACGGAGACAGACAGGGACAGAGTGTGAGAAGGTAAAGGGAAGGAGAAGGGAGATGAAGTGCAGAATGTCTGTCGGGTTCCGCTAGTGTACTGTACTATATTTACAGGATTTACCCACTTTTTCGTGACCAGGGACCCGACAATTAGTTTTTTCCATTTTACGGCGCACGATTATAATTCTTTCTCTTCTTACATTCGTAAAGGCGAGAAAGTAAAACTGTCATTAGTGTGCTTTAGAAGTGCGAAGTCCTAGACTCGCGGTTCACACGGCTTCAAACATTACCGCGTGTGTATTGTAGGTGAAACTTGAGTAGGGTAAGTAGCACCTCAGATCAGTTATATAGTTGACTATGGGTAGCAAGTGCACAGACAAGATATTCGCGTAACAAAGTCTCACCGAGAACTCAATCGCTGAGTTTCGTTTATTGTCGCGCCACTTCCTTTTGACGTCAGCGGTACCAGTTTGCTATGTTTCCGATCGAAACGTCCGTGTTGTCACAGCCATGATACTTAAAGGGAATTTTTTACCTTGTTTCGTAGAACGCAGGCGAAGCTCTCTTTGCTTAGAACAGAGCTAGCTTTACAGAACTAGTGGTGCTGCCGCCACAGCACGTACTTTCTTGCGATATTGTTAATAGATATGTAATTATTATAAAATTACAAATGCTTAAACAAAAACATCTTTCTGTCATTGAATTCAGTGTATTCACTTTCTACATAAATGTACCGACCTTGCGTATTTTAGCCGTAAATAGAATTATTACTTTATATTAACGCGGACGGAAGGCATCCATCATTTAACAAACTTCTGTTTTCTGTGCGGCATTACAACAATGACTGCTAATTCGTATGGGTACACTTTTGTCAATTAGCATTGTTGATAGCGCTAGCAAGAAAATGAAAGTGGATAGACTATTTTTATATATATTCATTAAAATTACTCTGTTTTTACGCGCATTCTGACTTTAAGCAAAGCGAAATCATCTCCTCGTTTTCACATTTAAATCAATTAAAGGACGCAATTTAAACTATGTTTTAAATGATTTCTAAAAGATTAATTTGTAAACGTTTTTATCAAACGCTCGATTGTAAGAAACGAACAAAGAAATTGGAAATAATATACAAGTTCAAATTCACGTAGCATCCAATTGCCTAAATACTTCTGTTAGTACGTTAACGAAGCGCTGTAAATTCCGAATGGCGACTGTCACCAAATTACATAAAAAATACTCATATTTTCAAAAAATTCAACATGACCTTATTTGAAATTATTTTTGATTAACACATTTCATTAAGAAACAAAAAATGTTTATCTTCATAATTGTAGTAGGAAGACCCCGAAATAATTTTGAATTTTTTCAGTTTTCGAAAAATAGGATTGTCAACGAACATGAGAAAGTCAAACCTCCTTCAAATCGGTCTTGATCGTCATTTCCTATAACGTCAAATATTTGACATTGGGTTACGTTTCACCGACTCCGGGGGTAAATAGATTCATCTAGAAACGTACGGTTATTTATCTTCCTCGTGCAGAGATTGGCTGCAATGTCAACGCGGTTCCGCATTGTCTGCTGAATATTGATGGTAAAATATGATATACTATATTTCAAGTAGGTTGGCATTGATTGCCCATTTGCACAATTTTATTCAGAAAAACACCACCTTCAGTATTGTATTTGTACAAACACGCCGACAAAGGCTCTAGCTGGATAAGATGGTATAAAGTGTTCCTGCTTGAAATCGAAAAGTAAAGTTTTCCTAAGGACTGTGACCACGAAAAGTATTTTTTCATGAACATTTAGATTTCTCTCCTCTACACATCCTTTGTAATAACGAAAAGGAAATTATTTTCTTTATTCAATGAATTGGCGATATGACTTTCCTTTGAAAATATATGATTCTTAATGTGAAATTTACTCAATTTTTCAAAAACAATTTAAAAATTTTATTTACCATTAAATTCAAATTTTTAAAATGGATTTTAAAATTTTAAATTTTTTTAAAAGCATGTTTTAATTTTGCTGTGTACACGAGAAATTTCCCAAATGTTGCCCTAAAAATTAGCTCTCTTCTAGAATTTTTCTAATTGGTTCGCCATGTTTAAAAAAAATTAAAATACTTATTTTGATCCCTTTGGTTTCATGTATATAGAACTGCACAGAGGTAGGTAATTACAATATTATTTTCTGTATGTGTGCATCAAGCAAAATTAAAACTTGCATTAAAAAAAAATTCCAAAATTTTAAAATCCATTAAAAAAATTATTTTTCAAAAATTAAGTAAATTTTACATAAAGATTCATTATTTTAAAGGAAATGCAAATGGTCTTTTTCAATGAATACAAATGAAATTTTTTCTTTCTCCTTATTACAAAGGTTGTGAAGGGGGAGGAATCTAAAACTCCATGACAAGATGTTTTTCGTGGTCACAATCCTTAGGAAAGATTTACGTTTTGATTTGAAGCAGGGGCAGTTTTTACCATCTTATCCAGCTAGAGCCTCTCTGAAATTTTGCAATTTTCGAAATTCCAGATTCAAGTGGCCTTTATACTGTGTATCCAATGAAAAATCTTAATAAAAATTTGGAGCCATTTTTTTTTATAGAAATATTGAAAATGTTTTTGAGGCATTGTACAGTATTCCGAAAAGTTAATCTTGAAATATTTTGGAGATATGACGGAAAATAATTTTTTGAATTCGAAACAGTAGTGTTCCATAAGAAGGACCCACAACAATGCAAACTGCAAAACAGTTCTATTTATGGTAATATTTGCGTTTTTACCAAGAATTGATAATAAAATATGTGTGTATTGGCAACGCTCATTGACACATGCGCGCATTGTTGGCAGTGTTCATTGATGAAGATGTGTTGATATGAGCAGAAATTGCGGTATATTAATATTACATAAATGTTACTAAGGGAGACTAAACTAGTATGTGCTGTTTAGCACCACTAGTTTGTATATAAAGTGAATTAGTTATTTATAAATCGAGTTAAAATTGGTGAACACAAAGTTGAATATATCCATATCTTTATGATTGTTGAAATGCCCAAATAAAATAGGAAATAACTAAAATTAACTTATGTGTCTTGTAATATTTATTGGTGTCTGATAATATTATTGTTTAGATTTATTTCATTTCTTTGTAATGTATGGTAATATGTTTAAATGGGTAAAACATTTTGTTCAGCTTTGTTCCTAATGCTTTACAGGAAGGCCTAGTGGAATCTTCGAAACATAAAACAGAAATTTTAACAAACATGCACAAGGCATCAGCTTTCCTGAAAGTTATATCTAGTAAGACCGAAACTATTTGTGAGAGGCTTGGTTTGATAATGGATTTCGTATTTCAGCATCCTGATGATTATGTGGGATCTATTACTCTCACCAATAAATATGATGTAAGCATTAATGCAAACGCATTATTCTTGTACTCTTTTTCCCAATGATAAAATAGCATTAATTCCTTAGATTACAGAGGTAAATTGTGAATCAAATAATAGATGTTATAAGACATCAATATATCTATTTTCAATAAGTCATTGAACTATAGTATTTTATGTTTGCGGAAAATACCATTTTCTCTTGTCCAGAAGTAATTATTTTGATAACAATGTCTTTGAGAAAAAAATTATTCTTAATAAAGAATCTAACAGAGGATTTTGAAGGCTTAGCCTGTGATTTCAATATAACCGTTTTTATAATTTCATGTTTGATATTTAGGTGATACAAAAACCTATTGAAGGTTTTTACAATTTTTGTCAGTTTGGACATATTTCGGTTCAGTTCAGCCATAACACATCTGAATTGGTTTTGATGGGGTTTTGCTAAATGATAGGATATTTTGTCAGACAATTTAGGAGACTTTTTCCAAATCAATTTTCTGTTGTATAAACAATAAAGTTTATTGTTTTTTGAACACAAATCTACAGTTTTGAATTTGATGACCTTCAGACCTAGGAAAAAGGTATTGTCTCCATGAGATTTTGTAAATCCACTCCCTATCTGCCTGCAAAATTAATGTTGCACTCTTTCGGTTTTTTGAAGAACATATCAAAAACAGTATGGCAGTTACCACTTTATGCATTTTTATTAATTCTGATCAGGCAATATACTTTCAGTAATTGAAGATCACGTTTGCTGTATGGATCTGTGTTTAGCTGCCCATAGCAACAATGATCATAGAAGAAGTGGCAAAGTGGTGCTAGACAGTTGGGATGGGACAGATAAGGCAGGGCTGAGCAGGGTAGACTATGACAGGGATTCAAGGATGGTAGAATTCACTCATTTTCGTATCTAATTGATTATAATAGTAAATAAATATGTGAGCAAGGCAAGCCGCTTCAGCTACTTTAAAAATGAAGACGACTCGGCAACTTCACTATGCATGCTTTTATGATAGTACATACATCATCAATAAATTGTACGCATAATTTGTAGTTGTAACTAACTTTTCAGAATTAGCCAAAGATCTTCAGAATTTTAAAGCCATTACTGAATGGTCTTTGTGAAATCCTTGCAAGTTACGTACTGATCTTTCAACATGAGAATTTATCAAATTGGTTTATCATTATTTTTCAGCCAGAGTCATCGTTTAATTCTCGAAAGGAACAAGAGTGGGCCATTAAACTTGTGTGTCAAAATGCAGGTCTGATATTCAACACCTTATCTTCTGTCACACGTTCCATTATCTTCTCCTCAGCAACATTATCACCTCTTAGTGCATTTGCTGCTGAATTGGATATTAAGATTCCAAATACATGTGTGAGAGGCCATGTTATACCTCCAATGCAGGTACTATATCTTATAAAATTCCATCACAGATTGTAGGTTTATGTAAATCAGTGATCATTAAAATAAATGAATTATGATATTTAAGATGTTAATATCATAATTTATAAAACGTTTTGTTTATGAAAAATTATTACTCAACATTAATTTTCTTTTGTTTGTTGAATTACTTTAATATTGCTTACTTTGGATTTGTATTAAATATGTAAAAGTTCCCCTCTTTGCCTGCATTAAATAATTCTATGAACATTGATTATTTGATCACGATCAGGATAGTAATAAGAACTTTTTAAGGGACAGAGGCTGTAAGACATAGCATTACTCCTGAACATATCCCATGGATATTAAATGAATCTCTCGTTTCCATTCCTCTCAGTTTTCTTGAAAAGTACTCAAAACGTTTTATGACTACAAAATAAATATGATGTTTATGTAATTAATCTGCATAATAGCAGAGGGGAAGTTTATCACTTGCAAACAATTGATTTGTTAACTTTTTATACTGATATATTGATTATTTTATGTAATGAACTAACATTTTCAGACGTGGATCGGATGCCTTGGAAGAAGTGGGAATGGGCATGAACTATACGGTAGATACAGCAACACAAAAACTGTTGAATATATGGATGAAATTGGCAACATTGTGCTGGATGTTTGTGTAAGAGTTCCATATGGGGTGCTTGTTTTTGTTGCAGCATATTGGACTCTTGAAAATATTATTCAAAGGTAACTGACATAAATGTTCTTTTCTTACTAGTGGTTAATAAAGCAGTATTATTTTATGTTAAAATTTAAAATTTTTGTTAAAATCTTTATCTGAACTACTTCCATGCTTCTGGTCTTTTTTGTGCACATTATCCACATTTTTTAATTGTACTTGACATTGACTATGATGTAAAGTTCAGAGTGCTCTTAATTGTTTATTTTCTTGAATGTCCAAAGAATCCCCTTTGAGGTATTTAAAGATGGTAGCTTGTTGTCACTATGTTCTCATTTTCATAATGGACACAAAAAGTCTATCTGGAAAGTATTAAGTACACTCATTTTGGAGTGTCGAATTAAAATGTGAAAACAGAAGTGTCTCTATTTAATCCACTCTTAATTCAGATAATAAAGTAAAATCTATGGATAAATAGATTATATTTAAATTAGAGAAAGCTATAGATCAACTCAAAATTTGAACAAAACACATAACTGGAAGGCACCGGGCAGTGATGGCCTGCACAATTATAGGCTAAAAAAATTTACCAGCACTCACCATCATATAGCTAATATAATTCAATATTTTCTTCATAATCAAGAATATTTGCCTTACTTCTTCACTGAAGGTAGAACATTCTTGTTACCAAAGGACAGTGACCCTAAAGACCCCTTGAAGTACAGGCCTATTATCTGCCTTCATACTCGTAGCATCATATGTTACCCAAATGATGATGACACACATTGAGGAACAGAACATCTTAGCATATGAAGAGAAAGGATGTAGACCTGGATTTCTGGGATGCAAGGAGCAACTCATTATAGACTGTAATTATGGGGCAAGTGCTTGAAAAACAAAGAATCTAGTACGCATGCTACATAGATTATGCTAAAGCATTTGACATCGTGCTCCATTCTTGGCTCCTTCAATGTTTGGATGTGTACAAGGTCCACCTGTTTATCCCAAACTTTCTGAAAACGGCAATGAGTTGATGAAATACAAAACTGTATCTCTCTAATGGACAACAATCCATCCACACAGATGCTGTACACATCCACAGAAAGATTTTCCAGGGTGACTCTTTAAGCTCTTTATTGTTCTGCTTAGCTTTGAATCCTCTCTCTTATCTATTAAATGCATCTAATTATGGAATCCCTCTTTTAAAAAAGGGAACTCAACCCTTCTTCATGTCTTGCATCTTCTTTTCATGGATGTCCTGAAGCTCTATGCAGACACTGAGAATCATATGCGGCAAGTAATGAGTGACAGAGAAGTTCACTGACGACATCAAGATGAAATTCAGTTTGGATAAGTGCAGAAGAGTGAATATCATTCAGGGTCATATGCAAGTTATAAATTTGGAAAATGATAATGAATCAAAGATACCTACATGGAATCCCATGAAATTACAAATACTTGGGTTTTCAACAGTGACTCTTGAGTCAAACACACTGCCACTAAGAACATACTAACAACTGAAGTGTGTTAACAATTGCGTGGACTCAACTCTCTGCTAGAAACCTTGCGCAGGCCATGAATGTGTTATTGCAGTGCTGACATACTCCTTTGGCATTATTAAATGGAGCAATACCGATCTCGACAATCTCCAGAGGACAATTCGAACCTTGATGACTCAACACCGAAAACATCATCCTCATTCAAGTATTGAGCATTTTACCCTTCTAAGATCACAAGGAGGGCGAGGTGTTGTAGATCTCATAAATCTACACAGCTCTCAAATTGCATCCAGAAGATACATTGTGGAACATTGTGGCAGAGTTCAGCAATCAGTGAGCCCAGTTGATAATAACTATAGTCCTCTGAACTCGAAAAAGCTTGATCCGCTTGTTCAGACAATCACTGAAACTGAAGATAAGATTACGTCATGAAAAGCGAAGGCACTGCACGGAAGGTATCCCCATGAGCTGAGTAAGAATTCGACATCGCATGCATGGCACCAGTAGGGAATCTCTTACGGAAGACAGAAGCTTTCATGATAGCTATCCAGGAGAAGTGGGACCAACTTTGAACTACAAAAACACATTCTGAGAAATTTGACCATCCATTCCGAATCGTGTAGAAGATGTGAGGCCGCAAGCGAAACTATCCAACACGGGACAAGTGCACGTAGCGGCCACGCACAGTGGGAATACAAAAAGAGACATGATGAAGTGGTGAAGCAGGTCCACCAATTATTGGCAATGAAAATGAGCTTAGCTGCTGTATTATAAATATGTGCCTCAGAATATGCTTGAAAGTAGTGAGTACAAGGATCGCTCCATTATCACTGACGGACAAGTCGGCGGCAACAGACCCGAAATAACTTACATCGACAGAAATCATCAGCAGGTTTTCCTTATCGATATATCAATACCCAATACCCAAACAAATCAGCAAAACACCAAGAGAAGATCCATAAGTATACCAATCTCACCCATGAAGTCGCAACTCATTGGAACTTCAGTAAAGTGACAACTGTGCGTATAATAATATCAGCCACAGGAGTGATCCTGAAAATGACACTTCAAGCACTAGAGTGTCTTCACTTGGATGCCAGGAATATATACAATATGCAGAAGTCGGTTATCATGAATACATGCCGTATTGTTAGAAGCCACCTGAATCATCAATATAGCAACCGTACACCTGGTCATCATTCCTGAGTGGTTGACATTCTGACCAGTAAAAACTGTGAAGAAAAATAATAATAATAATAATAATAATAATAATAATAATAATAATAATAATAATAATAATAAATCAGTTTGTTAGTGTTCTAGCTAAATTATATTCAAATTTGAAATATAATATGAATTTAAAATATTAAAATGATTAGAATAAAAAATTATGGCAAAATGTATCTTGAACAATCATTTCGGTAGAAAACATTGCCTGATATATTTTTGAAGGTACACTTCCTTTTGATAGAAAATAAAAGTCCAAAGAATATTTTTAAGTTTCATTTCCAAACAGAAGAGGATTTGAGTTGTTGATTGAAATTGACTATGCTCGCAAATTATCAATTTTTCTCTGGACTTCTCTCTTTTGACTCAGGATATTGTATAGTTCTAGTACACAATTCCATTTTAAAACGTATTTTATCTTGATCGCATATTTAGAATTTGCTTTCTGAAAGTTGATTTATCTTTTCATGTATGTTTCTTACTGAATATTTTATATTACAGCACACAATGATAGTCTATCCACTGTGCAAAAGCAAAAAGGAATACTATATACTCACCATATTCAAAACAGATATTGGATATGTTGTCCCTTTCACTTCTTTCCCAGTGATCTTGTTGTTACCAACATAAATCCGATTTTTAATACGAGGCCCTGACTCCGCTTAGTGCGGAGGAACTTCCCTGGCCCACTATATTTTTATTGTGTTTTTAATGCCATTTTTTGTTAATTTCTGCACTTAAATTTATCTGTATTGAAACTACTTTCAGATGGAAAGACACAGGTCTTTGGACAAAAATTGGTGAACACAAAAGACCTTTCAGTGAAACACGACGCGCAAAAGATTTTAATGAAGTTCTGAAAGATTTCTACAATGCTGTTGAAGATGCCCAGGAGTCTATAAAAAGTGGTCTTGTAACTGTAGGCAATGGCTGTACTGGACCACTGCTTGTAGCTGTCATGAGAGGCAAAGTCAGTGAAGGTTTTAACTTTGCTGATGACAAGACTCGGGCCATTATAACTGTAAGCTGATTGTTTCTGCTTTTGCTATCTTCTACTCCAAAAATACCAATTATAAATAGTAAAGTCTTCCACATTGCTGCTGTTTATTTAATAATTCATTCTCCTTTTGGTTGAATCGGAGTTTAGGGTGGCACGGTTCCTTTGGTCCACTGATTCGGTTCTTTATTTCTCGTGATTCACAAGATTATAGTTGCGCGGTTTACTTCAATCACGATTATAGTTGCGCGGTTTACTGCAATCACTAGAGAATAATTTTGCTGGCATTGGTTAATTTTCTTAAGTCAAAACATAAGTATATACACAATATGACGATGAATCAATGCCTTATGAAGCTTTACATTTTGCTATTACAAAACATTTTTTCTTCATGACGACATATTTTAAATTTCAATCCACATCTAAAATTACACTTCACAACATTCTTTCAAAAAAACAAAGCTCAAAATAAGATTTTTGCTTGCTTGTTGAACTTAAATATAAATATAGACTTGATTTCCTAATTAAACAACCTCCTAACAACACATTTAGTTGTTACTATGACAACAACATTATTTACTTCATAATTTGATGAAGTATAAGCTTCTAAAGAATTTTTTGTTGTTGTTGTTGTTGCATTTCAAGTTGTCTTTTAATAGCTTTGGGTGTCTACTGAGATGGAAGGTATGAATTCAGGAATTATTTATGATTAGTGCTGGGCGGAAAATTTGAATGTTATCCATTTGTGACAAAGTGGGTTTGCTTGCATCTCGACGTGTATGTAATGTATGCTTCAAAGATATGAAATGTACCGAGAGAAAGAATAGAACAGATGGTTATGAATGGATTCGGAGAGTCAGAGGCGAGAATGGTCATGTGAGAAAGTCTGTGTGAAAGGATTCTTTGTTTAAGAGGAGTCTTATTAATTTACAGAACTTCAGTTCATAAAAAGTAAAGAGTGTGTATTTTTTCAGATATAAAAAGATTTGGTGATACGTTGATGAATTATTGTAGTTTTTCGTGTTATAAGGATGTTCTACATAATTAGATCAGAGATGTTACACTAATTTTACTACTATAGTATTTTTAATATTATAAAAATTCTACAATTTTTGCAAGTATGTGAGTTGATTTTTTTCTTTCTTTTTTCTAATAAAATACTATCTGTAACATATACAGTCCCTGGCCATATTATTAGACGCACTCCAAATTTTTAACAAAATTAAGTTTTGAAGTCTCACTGCAGTACATTACATCTGGCATTGTTGTGAATCAATCAATAAAAATAAAGCTTTTTTTTCTAATAATTAACACATTATTTGTCATTATGTACCATTGTTGTGACACCTCATTGTTGCTTAGGCGCGCAAATTACAAGAGTTGAGTAGAACAAGAGGTGATATGAGTAGTGTGTTGTTGCATGAAGATAGTTTATTTTCCATTTATTAGTTTGTGAAATAGTTATAGCCGTGTTTATTTAAAAATTGTGAATTGTTGTGTATGAAAAACTGGTAGTTTTGAATAAAAATAATGGGAAAGGCAAGTGATTTGTCTCCTCAGAAAATCGCAGCAGTGAAAGCTTTTGTAGACACAGAAAAGTATTCAAATCGTGAGATATCTCGAAGGTTGAACATATCCAAGACACATATTCGGCGAATTAAGAAAAAAATTGTCCTTGGTGAAGAATTATCCCCACGAAGGAAGTACACATGTGGACGGAAGATAATATTTTTACCAAGATCTGAGAGATGTTTGAGGAAGATTTGCCATGAAAACCGATTTGCTACTACTAAACAAATTAAATTTAAATTGAAAAGTAGTGGAATCTGTGTATCTGAAAGGACAGTAAGGCGTTCACTATTTCAAATGAATTTTAAAGCTTGTAGACCAGCCCACAAACCCAGATTAACAGCTGGTATGAAAGAAAAACGTCTTGCATGGGCTAAGAACCTTAAGAATAAAGATTTGGACTTCCGGAAATCGGTAAAACTTTAGTCTAGTGCTTTTTTTATAATTATACATGGCTAGCTAAATTAATTCTAATGTCATTTACCTGTATTTCAGATTTGTTTTAGCGACGAATGCACTTTCGAAATTCTAGCAAACAAACATCAATTTGTGAGAAGGCACCCTGGTGAAAAGTGTCATCCAGACTGTGAAACATCCAGTCAAGGCAATGATTTGGTCAGTGATCAGTGGCAAAGGCACGGGTACTTGGTTAAGAGCAAATGAAACAAGACCAGTACAAGCAGGTATTGGAGAAACGACTGCTGCCTCAACTACAGGAATGGTTCACAAATGAAGAATCATTTGTTTTTATGCAAAATGGGGCTCCATGTCATACTGCTCGAACAGTTTGATCATTTTTGTTGGAGAAAAATGTTCCTGTGTTACCATAGCTAGAAAATTCACCAGATATGAGCCCAATAGAAAATGTTTGGGAGCTCATGAAGAGGGAAATCGCAAAGGAAGAAATAACAACAAAAATTTGCCTCCTTGAGAAAATAATTCAAGTCTGGTACCATCATCCAAAGTTGCAAGAAACAGTCCAGGCATGCATTAATAGCATGCCAACAAGAATTAAAGCTCTAATAGCTGCCAAAGGTGGCCTGACAAAGTATTAAAGATATACATGTGCATGGAGATTTTTTATGAAAATTAGTTTATCTATTATACTGACAGTCATAATTTTGCATAGGGACTGTAGTATTTGTTTGAAAAAATAGACGGTTTGATTTTATATTATTAAAATGGGAGGTTTGGGGGACGACAGCCCCCCAAAAACAAAAGTTTAAGTAGAAAGTGTTAGTGAAATATACTGCGGATTCTAGAGTGTATAAAAATGTATTAAGTAGATAAGTTGCTTTTTTTAGTAATAAATGCAAGAACATAATGGAACATTACAATACTCAAATAGTAAACAAGAATTCAGTTGTCGATTCCCCTCTAGTAAACCGAATCAGTGAACCAAAGGAACCATGCCACCCTAAACTCCGGATCAACCCTCTTTTTTAGTTAAATTTCTTTTGAGGCGTGCGTGTGGTTGTGTGTGTGGGCGTGCGTGCAGGCGTGAGCACACGCGCTGGTGCGTGTGGGTGTAAACGTTTGGTTTATTTTTTTGACATTTGTAATTTATATCAGTATTATTATGAATCCATAAAAATATGCATTTAATTAAGAAGCTTTTAACAATATCCAAATGAGTGTTATTCATCTCCACTTAATGTATCATCATAGTTAAAACATTTGAGTTTGCCCAAAACAGGTGAAAATTGTGTTGTAATTATACTTTTCTAAAGTTCGTTATAATAAGCGTATTAGGTTGTGTTTCCTTTTCCTCAATTCACTACCCGAATGGAATTTTTGCATATTTTTCCCCATACTTCATAAACGGCAACCCCTTTGTTAATTTTCCCAAAGTCTGAATCTAAACTTGCTACAAACATATATTCCACATAACATTTATATTAATTAACTTTGGTAGTAGAAATGTGAATATTCTTGAAAGTATGCAGGAAGGGTGTTGAAAACAATTTGAGCAATATGAAAAGTGTTGTTTGTTTGTATGGTGGTTTTTTTGTACACCAACCAAATAATGCTTGTACATTATTGTTTAATGCATTATTTGTTACTTCAGGTTGGCATTCCTTATCCAAATGTTCATGAAGATACTGTTAGATGGAAAAGAGAATATAACAAATTACATGCCTTGAGCAAACCTCTTCAAGATGCCGAAGGATGGTACAATACACAGGCTTTCAGGTGAGGTTGGTTTTTTGTTTGTTTGCTTTTCTTTCCCACTTTTTTTCTAGAAACAGTGATTTCTGAATAAAATTTTTAAAAAATTAAAAATTCCTTGTTCAGCATTGCTGACTTTCAGAGATATTAATCAATACAGAGGGCATTCAATAAGTTATCTACCTGAGCATGAATAAGAAATTGTATTTGAAACTCGCCTCATTTCTTCTCGATGCGGCCCCCACTGACTTCAACACACTTGATCTATTTTGCCTCCATTGATCAAATACCTTCAGAAAAGAAGGAAAAATTTGACTGTTAAGCTTACTTAACTGCTTCATTGTCAGGAAATCATCAACCAAGCACAATTTTTTCAAATTTCGAAACAGAAAGTAGTCACTGGGAGCCAGATCTGGGATAAATGGAGGATGATTAAGTTGTATGCAGCCACAGTGTTCAAAATCTCTCATTCTCTCTTTTGACCTGCATGGCACTGCACTTACCATCTTCTCACATCAATAGCTTATGGTAGACTGATTTGTTTAGGCTTGACCATTCCTAACAATTGATGCCATGTAACTACTTCTGCATACTCATAATTGAAGATACCTAATTGCTAGTTGTTTCTTTTCTTCCTTTTTTATTTATCCATATTTTTGGAACTTTTTGCAATGATTTAGATTTACTTGGTTATGGGAGTTTTAATTCATCTTTTGGATAGCAGGATCGGATTCTTTTGGGGTTTCATACGTTTTTTTCCTAATGAATATAGGGCACCAGAGGGGGTATTTTTAAGGGATTCAAAGGATGATTGGGAAATTCTTGTAATAAAATCTTTGATCAGTTCTAGTTATAATTCCCTATGAAGCTGGTTATTGCTGATATATCATGTGGCTTTGGTTATTCTGCGTAAGCATTTGTTTTGGATTACTTGCAGTTTCTTTATATGGTTCACAGCTGCATTGAACCATTTAGGGCAGGCATAGGTTAGTGATTGATCTACCTGTGCATGAATAAGAATCTACCTGAGTGACTTGTATATTAATGTTATTGACTTGTATATTAATGTTCCACATTCAATACCTAAGGAAGATTTAAACTCAGTAGGAAATATAGTTTCAACATTTTAATCTATGTTTTATCTGTAATTGTTTTTACATATATGGTCTTTCCATATTAATTTTGTATCATAAGAAATTCCTTGGTATTGAACTGGTACATTTCTGGGTAACCATTCAATAGAGGCATTTTGAAACTTAATGGTGGTGGAAAGTGAATATTTCTTGGTTTGAATATTTTGGCTTGCGATTTATTTGCATTGATATGTATTTTCCATTTCTCTGTCTATTGTATGTGTTTTTGTAGCTCATTTTGCAATTCATCATTAGTGCAAAGGATATGTAAATGTGATGTAAATAGGCATCTGCAAAGAGCACAAGTTCTGTATTATTAAATTTAGGTTTATCTGGTAAGTACATGTTGAACAGAACTGAAGAAAGACAAAAACCTTGAGGCACACCTCAAATTATTTTATGTTGGACAGTAGGTGCAGCATTAACTGTGACTTAAAAGTGACGGTAACATTACATAACAGTAATCTTGAACCTGGATTTTTGGAAGTATTCTAATAGTGTAGACCAGGTATAATTTTCGTATATGAAAGTTGAAAAATAAAAGATGTCTAGACTAAATTATGGTATAAAATCAATTTAAAAATTGATTAAAAACAGATCATTATTTTTGTTTTATTCAGAATTTCATCATAAATAGAGGCAGTATTAATTTATGAAATAAGAGGGAAAGGAAAATGTTATTCACGAGAAACTTTTAAAGTATAAATTGATACAGAAGTCATGAGGGTAATTTTCTTGGTGACGCCATCTAAATACTTAGATGGCGTCACCAGTTAGACTATGTGGATCCCAAAAAAGGAATTTGTTTCATTCATCTCTCTTCCCCTGCATTCATTTGTTTCATGAAAAAATATAACTATAAGAGTCCAGTTTGGGGAAGTCTATGTGTATTTTCATTTTTCTTGACGAGAAAAATTCTTTTTTCCTTTGAGATATCTACTATCCTGTAATCATTATTTATTTATTTATTTACCAACAAAAAAAATAATGCAAAAAATTGTGATCCAATATTCAGTTTAAAGAAAATTTCAACCAAGCACTTTTTGTAATGAAATTTTCGTAATTACATCATCATCAAATGTTCATTGTGCCATTTCATGCAATAAAAATACACTAGCATGTTCCTTATAATATTAGCAATAAATAACTCCTTCTCCATTTTGGCCTCAGAAGCATAGATTCCCTAAAAATGTTTTTTGTAATTTTCCAATTTGTCACTAGACCTTTGTGTATGTTTTTATGATTCAAAACACTGTTATAGACTCGCAAGGTTAGTAACATGATTTACAAACGATAAATGTACTACAATTCTGGCAGTTGACCTAATGGCAGGTGTGATTTGAAGGCCACACTCCACTCAAGACAGGGCTGTCTAAATAGGCACCTCAATTCACAACTTTTTATCATTCTTCATTTGCATCCCAAAAAAAGTACATATTTTCCTTGATAATACTCAGAAATATACTTCAATTCAGTATAACTGTTACATTCTGGTCATTATAGGAGAAGAGATCTCCAAGAAACTGCAGTGCAAGGACAAAGCATTTCTCAGCAAAATGGAAAAAGAAACATTTGTTGCTAGAGAAAATGATATGTTTCAATTCCTCATGAAACGAATCACCTTGTATTTTGTGGTGCTACTTGTGTATTTTTGTAAACAACTGTTTTAAGAATTGAGCACACAATAGGATATTAAAACTTTAATGAACTCCCGAGAATTTTAGTCCTACTGAAACATATGTGAGGTATCACAAAATAATCAAGGGGTAATTCCACAATGCTTTGGGAATTGTCGATAAATCTCTATGTTTCGAAGCAATGAGGACATTTCCAAATGAGAATTTTCAAATCACAAGTGGAGTCAGAAAAGTTCCAAAGCTCACCATAATGTTCCTTATAATATTAGCAATAAATAATTCCTTTACCATTTTTGATTCAGAAGCATAGATTTCATAAAATGTGTTATAAGTAATTTTTCAATTTGTCAACAGAACTTTGTGTGCTTTTTAAGACTCAAAAGGCTGTTATAGACTCAGGAGGTTGTTAGTCTCAATAAATACCACCAAAGCACAAGTGGAATTTCAAAAAAATATTTCCTGAATGAAATTTGAATTTAATAAGCCAGTTAAGTAAAGTGCGTCATGGAAGTTAATTTGGTATCTTGATGGATTTTCAATAAGTTTGATTATTTGCTGCATCATACTCTGCTCGCTATATGCATGTCCACCTGCAGCAATCAAACAACCGAAAAGCGCCATATCACAGCATGCAAGTTCAGCCAAGGTGCAAAAAGTATCACATTCTAAAAGATGATAATTAATAACTGATAATTTTGCATGGGTAAGTTATCTCTGATTGGTCGATGCGATACTTAAAATAATTTAAGTATAATATGTTCTTCAGAGCTCTCAGTCAGTCATTGGGACGTGGTTTGCGCCATCGTCAAGATTGGTGCTTGCTCCTGCTTCTTGACGCTAGATTTCAACAACCCAAGTATTCACAATTGTTGCCACAGTGGATGTATGAACGGGTGAGATAATTTTCCTCTCATTCTAATTTCTTTTGAAGCAGAGATGAGTTGTTGTGTATTCCAAAGAATTAAAACAAAATATTTGTTTCAAATCTTGCTTTTATAAAATTGTTTGTGGTACTTTCAAATAAATATATTCATTTTTCTTCCTTTTCAGATGATCAATTATCGACAGTACACTGGAATGCTAAGTAGTATGGAAGATTACCTAAAGCGCATGAAACTGTTGTCAGACAACTCAAAATCTTGAATATTTGACAGAATTTTGTTTATTATTTATGTTTGAAAAATGTGTATCATTGAGAACAACACCTTTTCAAAGCAGTTCTTAGACAGTTGTTCTTTTACTTCTCATTTTATTAGGCTATTTTATATCCACCATGATTTTATTTGTATGATATTCAAAATAGTGTTTTGTTGCCGAACTTTGTGTATTAAGATGATATTTAATATAAATATTGATTTCAAATCCTACTATATTGGGTATTACTATTCCTTTTTAATTCATGTACGTTATTATTTTTAATTTGTTTATTAATATATCTACTTCTCAATTTTAATGTAAGATTTTCCAATTTGAATGTATCCCTTCTCTTAAAGGCATAATCTGTTGACTTGAAATATTCCATAATATTTCCCCCCCCCACTTCCTGAATAGCTTCATCTTTAACAATACCTTTGATCCAATAGGAGTAGTGATAGTTGGGAGCTGGATAAATGAAGACAATTTTGTTAATTTTCAATATATCAGCGTTTTTTTTTTTTAATTTTAATTTTCAATATATTTTGATATAAGAAAGAAGGCACTGCCTGGTGAAGAATTATTATGGATACTACAGCACTCATATGTATGCTAGCTGTAGAAATAACAGAAGAACATGCAATGTCTTTAGGTCTCAAATCCTCGCTGAAATCTGTTGCTTACCTGTGAAATTCATTTCTCCATTACAGAGAGACATTGATATGAACATGAATGTAAACAAACAGGAAATTATTGTAATGATTTATACAGGGTTTATCACAAGTCAGTTGGCATGAGTTGTGATTAAGGAAGTTTGCATAAATTAACTGCATCATGTGTTGAGTTGATTTTAAGAAAACATTCATTCTTAATCTAAATTGTAGCTGTCAAGTAATATAATATTGCAATTTATATCTACAAATACTGCAGGCCAAAACGTAACGTACAGTGTTATAAATATGTTCTAGTAATAATTAAGAGAACCAAAAGATGTGAATTAATACCTCTTTATCAAAGTAAATGAAACACAGAACACACACATCATTTATTTTTTGAGGTTTTGAGAAAATATTGTTTGAATATATGTGCCCATTTTACATTGTAGGAGATCCAAAAATGCATTATAAAATACATCTATTATGTAAATATTGGCATGTGGGATGTTTAAAAAGTTACATATGTGTATTTTTTTTTTTTTTTAATTTACTGATCATTTTAATCCAAGAATATCAAGTGATTTTGAGCAGAAAATATATTGAAAACATTTGGAAGCATTTTCGAAAAAATTTTGAAATTTACATTAGAACACTTCAGTTTTAAAAAGATACTTTACAAATTTGCAGTTAAATCGAATTGATCAAGGAAAATCTTGTGTACTGTTAAGCTGTTGTTCACAGACAAACATTTTCGTCAAATCAACATCTTCATATCAATGTTCATATCATAGCAGGGACATTTCCAACAAAAATTAGGATTTTTTAGGAGCATTGACAACTATCTGTACTACGCATGGTGTGAGAAAAACTAAAACGATAAAAATTAAGTGCCTACCAAGAAAACTTAAATAAATAAACAGTATCATCATGAGATGTGGCATGTATATAGATTGATACACCTTTAATACCTATGCACATGATGCAGAAAACAATACAACATTATATTGATAATAGTAAGCAAAAATACAAAAGCTACTTAGCAGTACAGATTTTTGTAATATTTTACTTATATCAACATAACATGAGATAGAGACAAAAAAAATTCTTAACAGCAAGCATATCTTAAGAATTTAACAGCCCATTAAGAGCCTTCGACACAAATGAATTGTGGTCATTCGCATGTAAATCAAGAGGGGGGCCAATTATATTTCTGAACCCCCTCTTCCAATTTTCAATCTATGTTAAATGTATTTTTAGGCAATTGTAGGACGGATCTACTGGGACTTAGCTCATTCTCTCGGAATAGTTTAATACATTTTAAGATGTTTTCGACCTATTTTGATTTTTTCCCGCAGTTTTTCGACAAAAAACACTTATTACCTGGCACCAATATAGGGGAGTTAGATAGGACCACTTTGACAGGTCAGAAAACTAATGAACGTCATGTAGGGCAATGACATTGCAAGAGATGGTGATAAAGTCATTGACAAATGAGCTAACTGTAAACGAACCCATTGGCATAATGAATGCATGGACGTAACCTCTAATTATTCTGCCAGAAGTGGTCAAAAAGTATAGCTGACAAAGGGTTTCCTTCTTATAATAATCTCAGTTTAAATATCGAATAAATCGTGTTTGAATTACTTTCTTTAATGTGTGTAGTCAGAATCCATGTTATAAAAAAATTATCTTCGTTTGTATCAGACAGTCAAATTGGTGTTTCTCTCATTTCTGGCAAACTATTGTGGAAAATTGCACAATTTTAACATTTTATACTTGAAAATAAAAATGTTTGTCTTCAACGAAATTGTTAAAAAATCACTGTTATAAATTGCACAAATTTCAAGCAAAAATTATTAGTTCTTTATTTTAAAAAAGTGTACCTGACCTTTTATAGGAAGTTGATTTTTTAACAATTTCGTTGAAGACAAAAATTTTTATTATATATGTATGTGTGTGTATATATATAACGTCATGGGATTGTGCAACCCTATAACGCCACCGTCTAGCACCTGTGAACACCCACAAGCAGCGAGGATAACACGCGGCGGAGCCGTGGCTCTTAAACGCGCAACCTGTTATCCGTTGATCGTACTAGAGCGCTCGAACTAGCGAGCAACGTTTTTCCCGTGGAGGGTTGAAAGAGGGGAAGCAACCCCACTCGAAATTTCCCCAGGCGTCGAGCCATAAATACGGTAACACGCTTCGGGAGCTCTCTCTGATATTCCAAGCAACGGCAACAATCGCATCGGCAGCATTGTATCACAGCAAGGTCTTCTCGAGATAGAGTAGGAGTTTATTATATACGTGGAGCTAGAGTAGAATAAATTAGACTACCGAAGTGATAGGAGAAAGTGGTAAATTTTGGAATCGGCAATAAGTCTAATATTGCCTAGATTCGCGCAGAAGAATTCTGAATTATTCTAGTGCAGTCATATTGCTCCTTATTACTGTACAAGCCAAAAGTGTAGTAGTTAGGCGGCGCATGCAAACGAAAGGGGCGCAGGAAATTAGATAAAACTGGAAGCGCGAATTAATTTATACAACGAGGCGTGTGAAGATAGAAAAAGAAGGCATCTCTAAGAAGGCTCAAGCGAACGTGCGAAAGGTATAGTCGAGGATGGAAGGCAGGGCGTGTAGGTGCGAAGGATCTGGGTTCAGCGTGGAACTTCGAACGGTCGACGCAGCAAGTGAAGAATTCGGCGAAACGTTGGAGAGGCCACGACCTTGATTCGGCGAGTTCATCTGGCAGCGAGCATCGCAACGTCGGTGAGACACGTGCGTTTGTACCACAGCAGTTTCGTTAGAAAAAAAGCGATCGCAGCAACGCAACAGTTCACCAAAATAGCTTAAAGTGGGAAACAATTTGTTATGCGTAATAGTAGAGCAAGTGAAATCCCGAATTATTTATGCGGTTGAAAAAAGGAGAGCCATACCTTGTACTGTTTTATGTGAAAGGTGATTTAATTGTTGTACAGTTCTTTTTTGTAATTTTAAGGGAAGTTAGAATTTGTGTATTGTAAGGTTTCTATTTTTGTTCTATTTATTCTCTGTAAAAGTGTGTTTTTGTTTTGTCGTTAATTGTGCCACCAATTTTATGGTTAAATGAACGCTCGTTGTTCACAATCTACATATCTGCAATTTATTGTTGTCGAGGCGTTCAGACCTTTCTCGTACCCGAAAGATCCTGCTTCCTGATCATTTTAAGCTCGCTTCTCCCGAGCAAAGCTATAACACGCTCCTGACAATGCGCTGCTGGTGCTGAAGGTTTTGGTAAGTGTGATAGCGGGGTATTATTTATATATATATATATATATATTATATTTATATAATATATATATATTATATAAAATTACACGGCCTTTTTTGAAGAGCTAGTTTTGTTCAACAGACTTTGTTTGAGACAAATATTTCTTCCTCCAATATCACCGACGTGGCACCGCCCTAGGCAGGACAAGCTGTAAGCTCCCGACCGGTCTCCCGGCTTATGTGTGGGGATAGTGTCATGTAAGTGTGAATGTGTGTAAGTAAAGGATGAGAATAGGGCAAAGAAAAGGAAGGAAAGATCGCGCGCGGTTTGAGGAGCATTCCAGAGGCCGGCTGGTCTGATCGGTAGTTCCTCTGATCAGTGCCAGGCGAATGCCGGGACAGTACACTAAAGGGCCACGGACTGTGAATGATCTTTCCTTCCTCATTCTTGTCCAATCCTACCCCCCATATTCTCTAATAATGAATCACTCATCAATAGGAACAAACTCCAGGCTCTGACTGGTATCCCGAGTCTAATAGTGTAACTGTAGTGCGTGAAAGAATGTGTATTTAAAGGCGAAATGATGAACAAAAGATAATGCGCGATCAGTGACCCATTTGTTTAAGTACTACTGCAGCATTCGCCTGGTACTGATGGGAGAAACCGTGGACAACTGCCGTTCAGAAAACCCGACCATTATAATTCTTTCCCATCCAACGGCAGAACTCGACCTAGCCAGAATA